CTTCTGAACCAGGTAATGTGTATCCCAAATTGACCAGGTGGATTCATCTGGAAGGAATGTACACTATTTCCAAGCACGTTTCAGCTCAGCATATGAGACAAACCAGAGAACTGAGTACAAGTGCAGTTGTAGGAAGAACACTGATAAAATGGTACAAAAGCAACATAAAAGGATGGAAAAAAAACCCAGCAGGAGCCAAGTTAAATGACTATTTTTGTAGCTGTTACTGTTTGCTGTATGGACAATTGCTACGTATATTAGCATAAATAATTCTTTTTTCAGGAATTCGTATTGGAATAGCATTAATACCTATATGTTATTGTACCATTGTCTGTATGTTGCCATTAGAACTGTGGGACATGGTTAGCTAGCAATAATATTTCATTGCATAGTGTTTATTATTACCTACCAGAACTAAGTGGTCCAAACAAAAAGTTAATCAATAACACTATAAAGATACCACCAGTTGGGATAAGTTACTTAGAAAATAAGGACTTACTCATTGGTAATTTATAAAGCAAGTTGCAAGACTGAATTTTATAAAGTAGTAATAAAAGTTTTTAATGAATGACTTTACCAATATTGCTTCTGTAAAAATAACATGTACAGAACTGTGAGATACAGAATGATAGATAAGCTTTCAAGGCTTTTATTTTCTAGATAATTGAACACTGAATCCAGCTACATTTCAGATCTTTCTTAGGTCCCATACATTTCAGTGTATCCACACAACTTTACAGAGTATTAAACAAATACTGTAAATCATGTTCAGAGCTGACTAATAATAAAAATCAAGGACCCCTTTTTAAGACAGACATAAAAAAATGTTTTTCAAGGAAAAGTTACTTAGCTAGTTAGTATGCAAGGAAAAACACAATCAGAATAAATACAGGAATACAGCAGCTGGAACTTCTGTTTGTATGAATCATTTTTATTTGCTCCCTTCACTGTGCACACCAAAGTCTTTTGAAAAATAAAGACTGCAGTCATAAAATAAAGATTGAAGATGAGGCCTGATCTGGAGAGCTGGAACTTGGAAAGGAGAAGCAAGGCTTGTGGCTGTCTGCCAGATAATAAGCAGGTGAACATCCTTCCACTAGGAGGGATGTAATGTCACCTAAGAGAGTGGTACTGGCTGTGGATCCCAGGCAGCTGTACTGGATTATTTGCTCGCTTGGGTACTGTTTCTGATCAGGGGTGGTTTATAGGCTAGCTGGATCAGACTTAATATCTCAGATATTCATAGACTCATAGAATGATTAGAATTGGAAGGGATCTTAAAGATCATCTAGTTGCAATCCCCTTGCCATGGGGAGGGACACCTTCCACTAGACTAGGTGGCTAAAAGCCCCATCCATCTGGCCTTGAACACTTCCAGGTTTGGGACATCCACAACTTCTCTGTGCACCATGTTCCTGTGCCCACCACCCTCACTGTAAAGAATTTCTTCCTAATATCTAATCTAAATCTACTCTCTTTCAGTTTGAAGCCATTCCCTCTTGCCCTATCACCACATGCCCTTGTGAAAAACCCCTCTCCATCTTTCTTGTATCGTCATTGTTCTGTGACATATGTTCTGTACAGCAATATTACAGCCTGTTGTTGATAGTGGTAAAACCCCTGTAAAGAGATAGTCCTTTTGCTCTCCCTCCTCATTTGCTTCAGTCAGGAATTGCCATCTGTGGCATTCTGGACTGTAATACAGTGCTGCTAAAAAAGTCCACTCTTTTCCAACTGCCCAGCAAAGCCAAACACAGCAGACCCCTGCTGCTTCCTATGGAGGGAGGGGCTTAGGGTCAGGGCTCTTGCTCTAAGGAGCAGTGAGCATGGCAAGGCGTGGGGAAGGTTGTGCAAGACTCCCTGCAGATGTGGTTGTCCACACCTGACCCATGACAGAGAGCAGAGGTAGCTACTGCCATCCTGGCCCTGAGGGAGTGTCTCCTCCATTGGCTGTCCTCATCCCACTGCCCTCCAGTCAGGGAACTGGGAGAATCTGGCTCCTGAATCCTTTCTAAGGATCTGCTTAAGGTATCATAAACATCATGTTCTTGAAAAGACTTCTGTAGCAAGATATTCAGAAGATCCTTCTGTTCCCTGTGTTTCTGCTGATAAAATAAGCACTGTAATTGAAATCTGCATTTAATAAAAGTTCTCATGCATGGGGACTTAAGCAGCATACTTTGTTTGAACTCTCTAGTCTTTATAGTCACTTTTTTCTTGCTAATATCTAATCTCTGTTGCGTTCTACTAACAATACGTGAACTGATGCTTAGCCAAGAAATACCTTTTATATTCTGTTTTCTGGTTAAAATAACAATTGGAATTTGGGACTCTTGGCATCACCAGTCATCTGGATTTTCTTTGTGCGGTTTAATATTTTCCTGAAAATAATGAAACATATTCTGTACAACAGGGCACTTTTAGATATAGTGAGCAGCCAAATTGTTCCTAACAGGAGAACAAATTACTGGTTATCAGTGGCTCAGGGATGCTGCCTCCGCATAGGTTGCCACTCCACACCACATGTAAAAGGAGGTAGTTTGCCTTTGGTGTGCCTTGGGACAAAAGCAGGTGCAGGGATGATTGCTGCAGAGCAGCAGAACCATTGTGATGGGTTTGTTGCACAGTGACACATCGAATCACTGAAATCTAATCCAGTTTGTTTCTATTTTAAGGATACTGTGTTGGGAATAAGCTGGCCATTGGATTTGATGCTTATGTTATGGGAGCTACTTTCTAAGGCTTAGACAGAGATACCAAGTGTGTTGTGTGTCATTTTATCCCTGCATCTCAAAGTTTTTTAAAGGAAAAATAATAGGATCTTTCACTGCCTTAGACTTACCATAAGCAATTAATCTAATACTCTAGAGGAGGTCATAGAGAAACTAGATGAGACACTAACTGAAGTTCATGTTTTTTCACTAATTGGTCTTCACAGTGGAAAACCTCAGAAGGTATGATCACTGAACAAAACAGGTAGCAAAACTCAAAAAAAGCTGTGATTGATTCTGCTGGTCTGGTGTGAATCAATTGACCAACAGAATTGGTCACTCTTCAAATTATTTCCCCTCATCTACTCCTTCCTTAATAAGTATTTCAAAGATTTGGATTAAAAAATTTAGAATATTGAAAGTGCAAGGGAGAATATAGTGTTGAACTATACATTCATCCATGTTCTGATGCCTTAAAATATGGCAGCTAATGGAATTGCATAAAAAATGTTATATGGAAATTTACATAATTAGAACCATTTTATTGTAATGCCACTTTGTGTCAAGTGTTCCTTCCCTCTGACCTCATTAGGTGTACCTCGTCATTAGATACAGTGTTACTAAAGAGTTTTAACTTAAAAGCTGCTTTGATTAGTGCTTGGTTGGACTGAGGATTTAGTGTGTAGGATTAACTAGATTTAAAAATGGCAAAATGCCATAGTAGCTTTAATGCCAGACTTTAATGAGAAGCAGAAGTAAACTCCAAGGACCCTTATGATTTTTGGTATGGACTAAACTCATGTGCTCATTATCTTAATGTCCTGTCCTATGTTATTTAGAAGTATTCCAATAATTCCTAGAGAATAGTAGCCTAGACAGCATATTACAAATGTTTAACCTGAAGTATATAACCCTATATTTTTAATGAATCATAAATTTTGATAATTTTAGAATCAGATTTATTTGGTGTTATAGAGGAAGACTGTTTATACTGACTTGGGCCTTTAAAATAAAGAAAGAATATGGGCGTAAGACAAAGTCAGACTGGCAAACATTTGACCCAATGAATAAATGTACTGGCGATGTAGCTGAAAAATGCATTTTCACGTTTTTATGTAATCTGCTAATTGAATTTCCTTTTATTGTCTTCTTAAGTTCCTTTAGTGCTCCTGAAAGTTTACAAAGTTGGCATGTCTAGAGCTTAATAACCTTATTTTTTTTACCATTGATCACATATTTCAGTATATGATACTGCCAAGAAAACCCAGACCATTCTCACTCCAGACAGCATTTGATCATCTCCTTAAATCCTACTAGACTTGATAGGATTTAAGCATATACTTTAAAGGTAATGCATTGCTGAACAAGGACATTTGTATCTGGCATTTTTTCAGTCCATGCTGGTGTTGATGAGCTAACCAAAGGACACTGGTTTGTTATTAGAGCTGAACAGGAAAAGACCTTCCCATCTCAGGAGCCTGAGAACTTTGTCATAGAACCACAGAATGTTAAGATGTTGCAGTGGACCTTGATGATCATCTAGTCCCAACCCCCTGCACTGTGGGCAGGGACACCTCCCACTAGGCCAGGTTGTTTAAAGCCTTATCCAACCTGGCTTTGAACACTGACAGGGTCGGGGTGTCCATATATTTTATTCTGGTTATTTTTCAGTCAACTTCCAGTAGTAAGAATCATGTAATGAAATTTTTGTTTCTGCACCGTAATATGCTGTGAGAATAAGGCACAGTGTACTCCTAAGCAGTAACAACAGTTCTTCACAGAGGTGGCACCGTTTCTGCCAAAACATGTAGGATGGCATCCAACCAAATACTTTGGTTGTAATGCCTAATTTCTCATTGAAATCACAGATATATTGGACATGACTTAAATAGGATTACTCACTCAAGCAAATTTACACAAGAGTCTAAGGCACGTATCCAGCTTCCCGTGAGTTAAGAATCTACATACTCATTTGGCTCTGGGTCCTGTGCTTGCATAACATTGCTTGTGTGAGTAACCCTGCCAAAAATGAAACCTGCATCAACATGGTTACTCACACCAGCAAAATTTTGCCTGTGGACAAGTGATGACAGTCAGGGTTCCTGCTTCCTTTTGTATCACATTGAAAACTTCCGTTTTCACTGGTGATTGAAGCTCATTAGCCAGTATTACCTTCACAGTCCCCATCAATAATTTCTGTGCCACTTAATTGCTTTGAGGTTTTATTAAATCACTTCTGTGTTCTTTACTTTGTTGACTCATTGCTATTATTTGTTTTTCCTTTTTCAGGGAGAAGGCCAGCAAAAACAAAGGACAAAAAAAAGAAGAAAAAGAATTTGATGGAAAGGGCTCAGAAGCAACACAGCATCTTTTTAGCGACAGATAAAACAAGCCAGTAAAGACTTGATTTTCTTTAATATACTTTTTTTTTGCAAAGTGCCCAAAAGCTGCTATATGCTCCTGCCCGTGGATGCAGTACAACTCAGCTGCTTTGACAGTATTGGTGGCAAATAACTTGTGAAAATAAAGCCCACAAGCTTGTTTGTTTTATTTATATATTCTTTATTTTATTTTTTTCTTCTCATTTTTGACCTGAAGACTTCAAGGTCAGGAGTGCACTGAGTTGAATCAGTGGAAGTGGTCCTGAAGTGCATCAGAGATATTGTCCTGAGTGTCTGGTCAACATGTTGACCAGGAAAGACGCCTATGTAGCACCATTAGTCAGACTTGTGAATATTTAAACAAGCAAAAAAAAAAAAAAAAAAAAGGAAGTCTTGGAGGTATAGGTACTATTGCATTTATGGCCTTTGTCTCCTATATTTGTACATTTCAAGAGTAAATAGATATGACTTACCTACTTAGTGTTAATGTACATTGTTCTCAGCACCTGCTACATCAAAACAGTTCTGTAATAAAACTGCTTTAAGACAACATACTGTAGGATTCACTGCTTAGGCTTACAGAAGCACAACAGACCCTATGTGTATATATTACTCTACGTATAAATGAACATATTTACTGTACATCTATGCATTTTTATGTATAATACTTTATACATGTGTAAAGGTATGTCCCGTTGGTCCTAGTAATATACTTTAAAATAATCCAGTAAATGTTTACTTTTTACTATGTTTTAAGTATCTTCTCATATTCCTCAATAGTTACAATTTGGAATTTTTTTCTGCTTTGCAAAGCACACTCAGATCGCTAAACTACCTTGCACTGAGCCCCACAATGGAGCATCGGCTCTGAATTATACTTGCCAGACTGGTAATCCACGAATCTTTTCTGCTATTCTGTACTCCTATCTCAGCCCTTGTGCATTTTGTCTCAGAAAAAGAAGTGTATCTTTTTTTAAGATGAGGCACAATGATGATAGATGTTTTGAGAGTCAGGACATAAATTATATGTAAAGTTCTTGGTATCTAAGATTGTATGTATAGTTTTGTTTTTTTCAAATATAAGGCACAGTGTTTTGTTTCAGTTAGCCCTGATGCAGATACAGAAAACAAATACCTAAATAGGGGAGAAACAAAAGAAAAAAGATATGTGAGTTCAGCCATCCAAAAGTATAGAAAACACCAATATCCCAATATTGCCAGTTATTTGTAGAAATTTAGCAAATTTATTCTGTGGTTGGTGTTAGGTTTGTGGGGTTTTTTTGGCGGGGGGGAAGGGTGGAGAGAATTTTCTGTTTAGGGCATTAAAATGGCTCAGGATGTGTAATTTGATAATCTAGCATTATTGGGCTAGCATTCAAGCAGATTTTTGGATATCTGCTGGGAAAAGCCCACACTAAAATGTCATTTAAGCTGTCACTGAGAGAAGTTATTTCAGTCTAGGACTAAAATTTGCATATACCTACACAGAAAAATAAAAAAGCAAACCAGACCCCAGACCTTCACAAAGCTCTTTTTAGTATATACTTTAGAAAAAATCCCACATACCAGTTTTAGTTTTATGGGTTACATGCTTTTCAAATAAACTAGGAAAATAAAGCATCTAATAGCACAAATGTATCTCTATTGAGCTATGACAAGTGTTGCTACCGAAATGTGCAGTAGTTAGGCACATGTGAATGTTCCAGGAAATTGCTTATGGACTTCCACTTAACCGTGAGGTTTTCACCATATGTTTATATTTATCTAGAACATAATAATGTTATGGACAGTAAGATTGTTCTAATACTGGGCTGCTGTTTTGAATATTAAATGTTCACTTAAAAAAAAAAGACCATAAGAACTGTAGCTGCCTGCTTACTTACTGGTTATCAAATTTGACTGTAAGTGCAGTGAATGCCCTCATACAAGCCTTTCAGTAGTGGTTACAAATATTGTGTTAGGCATGTCATGGAAAGGATACTACAAAATACAATAAAATTATGTCACAAGCTTCTGAGTTAAATAATTTTGGTCCTTTTTAATACAAATAGTGTATTCCTTTGGAATAGCATACGCATAGAGTAATTGGAGGTGATGTGTGGATGCAGATTTTCTCCAACTGGAGTTAAAAATATGAGGGTTTTCCAAACAAATATTTTGTTGATACTTACAACTGCTTTGAAAAGACACTGAGGGTTAGATATCCACTGATTCCTCCTGTCCCAATCACCTTCATACTCAGAGTTTCCTTGAGAGCATAGACACAAGAAAGTCAGCCCTCGTGTGTAGGTCCCTCTTTGCCTTTGCATGCTGGATCCTAACAATGTATTCATAGCTCTGGGGTTTTTGTAGGATCTCACTTCTGAGGCTAGAAAGGACTTTTCCTTGAACATTAGTAAAGGTGTTTCATTGAGAGGGTGTTTGGTCACAGGCTCCCCAGGGAAGTGGTCATGGCACCAAGCCTGGCAGAGTTCAAGGAGTGTCTGGACAGTGCTCTTGGTCATATGATTTAATTTTAGGTAGTCCTGCGAGGAGAAGGGAGTTGGACTCAATGATTCTTGTGGGTCTTTTCCATGATTCAATGAATCTATGACCTTGAGAGATGATCTAGTCCAAATCTCTGCTTGAAACAGGGCTAAGCTCTAATTACCTTCAAACAGATAATGCTTCTTGATAAAGTGAAGATCAGGTTTTCAAAGCCGGATAACATGCAAACAGCCTGTGTCCACTCTCCCTGTTATTTCCATTAATTTTGCTCAGAAGCAGACTTGTAAAGTTCTTAGTTCTTTTCTGGTAAGCAACTGACCAGGTACAGATGCTACCTTTTTTCCCTTTCAGAGCTGTTGCTGCTTTTTAAATGCTGCTCTCAAACCGTGGAAGGCTTCAGAGCAGTGGAATTTCTGTGTTCACAAGGCTTTTATGCCCCTAGTTTAATGATTAGCTTTTGGAAATTTATTTAAAACTAAAAAAGATTTAAATTAGTAGGATAAACAACTTTCTATGCTGTAATAATTGGTTTATAAAAAGGTGTTACATTGCTATGATGTACAAAAAGTGTTTTTTCGAAAGCATATGCTCCTTTATATCTTGTTCACCTGTCCCAGAAGAGACCATTGCATACGGCACTGTGCATTTAGCGTCTCTCTGTTATCAGTATTCCTTACCTTATCCTGACACCCTAACATCTGTCTCTTTAAACAAAAAAAAAAAGCAAAACCAAAAAAAAAAACAAAAGGAGAAAAAAAGAAAAGAAAAAAAAGGAGAAAACAACCCCAGGTGCAGTTTTAAAGCAATTATTTTGTGGCTGACTGGTCTTTATTGCATTTCAGCTGTTCTTTCCAGTGAAAAATTATTGTTATATGTCTCTTTTCTTATTCCACATTATGGTAATACAAACCTTCCATATTATGAATGTCAGTATTAGTAAATTGTTCTCCTGTTACACCTCTATGTTCAATATAAAGATGTCTATGAAAGAAAAGTGAATACTTACAGAACTTATATGATGTCTCCCTTTATCAGAATAAGGTTTTATTAGAGAAAATTGCAGAGCAGAAAAGCAGATTTTCATCTGAGTTTCATTTCATTTGAAAATAAACCAAAAATCAATTAAATACCATGTTAACTTTTTTCTTTTTTATTTAAATGAAAGTAAAAATATTGCTGGAATCTTGATTGAAAGCTTATAAATTGAGAAGACAGATCTTTTCCAGATCAAATTCAGTGCTTCAATTCTGTTATGCTGATGAAATATAATATAGAATATAAAAGCTTGGATATTCCCAGAATGAGGGCTGTGCTTTCTTTAAGTGGGTGATGTTACTGAAGGCTGATGCTATCACTTACCAGAGGGTATGAATTTTTTGAATTCAAACTGCACATCTCTCTCTCTTCACCAACAAAACGTATTTGTCTTTTGACACCAGTTCACTTTCACTTCCAATGGTGTAAGCCAGCATAAATTCCAGTAAACTCTAGGCTGATGTTGTTCTGGACTGACACCAAGAAGAACAAAATGTACCCTTCTGAAAGTGTAACCCACAAACCACTGTCGGCTTTTTGTTTAGTTCTTTATTGAAAGCTCTACATTGAATCTGGCATTGTTTCTTCAAGAGAAGCCTCTCTGCAGTACTGAAGAAAGGGCATTAACTTTAGAAAGCATCAGAGCAGCCTGATCTGCAGGACACCTGGGAGAATGGCAGCCCAGTGTTTGAAGTGCAGTTCCTCTTAGGAGTGAAAAATGCTATAAGAAAAGTATGACTAGAGAGAGCATCCTGAATGAACCCAGCCTTTAGCCCATTGCCTAACTCTTCTAGACTTCAAGCGTTGTTTTTTAATGCCAGCTAGTTCTGTTTATGTCTAATGAACCTCAGCCCCACTGAAGCAGTACACTTATGTGGCCAGTAATGTAGCTGTGGTCATAGCAGCTGCAAAAGTGCTGCCCAGCCTCCTTGTTTTCCAATTGTGTCATTAATGACACTCATGTAGTCTTGTTGATTTTAATTGGGCAATACTGATGAAGCTAACTAACAGTTCATAGACCACAAATGAATAAACACTGAATATGAGGCTGTTTTGTTTTCCCCCAGCCACTTTCCAAAACAGAAATTCAGCTCAAGAAAGCAAACAGTCACAGCTAGAGGATACATCTTGGCTTGCAACTATTTCTTAGCTTCCCTTCAGACTTTAAGGGGGCTTTATGAAAAAGATAAGACTTTTGTGCTTTTTCTGTTTTGTTGGGGTTTTTTTTAAATTTGTTTGGTTTTCCCTGAAGTCATCTTTTTTTATGCGGAAACCTCAATGAGAGGTTGTGTTTGCTCTCTGTTTCTGAGTGTACTTAGTTTCCATCTACAGAAGCTAAGGCCTGCAGCTGCAAGAAGGCTCCTGATCTTTGCTCCAGAATTGTTTCAGTCTTCTATTTAGTTGTAGTCTCGTGATAGGTGCTCGAAAAATCTCAGGGACATGGAGTGAAGCCACAGGATTTCTCTGTTACAGTTTGGTACTCTCCTTTTGGCCTT